GTTATTGAAGCAGAGAGCAAAACAAATATCAGGTGACTTCACAATCACTCCATACATACCAAATAATTTAAAGATTCTGGATCTTCTAGAACATTCTTATCTTTAAGGTTCAAGCACTAATTGCCCTGGTCATACCATCTCTAACCCAAGAGAATTCAGCTGCACAGAGAAGAAGAGCAGGTCCATTCAATATAAATAAACTTAGTCATGATTCAATGTCAGTAATGGAAACTTTAGTCTAGAATTCAGTCTGAGAGGTAAAAAAAGAAAGTAAATAAAAAGGTCAATTTTTTCAACAAGAAGACCTAAAAGCCTCTTTTGAGCCTTTTTTCCCTCAAGCTAATCATGGAAAGGTAGCACCATGTAGGGCTGCTAGTAGACAATTGGACAAACAAACAATCTTCTGATCATCACTCAGTCCATCAGGCATTTCTGATTATGTTCATAATAGAGTGAACTTTGAAATGAAATCTCTCCACTAAACATTTGGAATCACTCTACTCATTTGAAAGGGCATAAAAAGTGGAGGAACAGGTTTTTTTTTCCTTTGGCAGACAATATTGAAACAAAATCCCTGTTTATACATTGTTTTTTATAAGTAAAATTTAAGTCTGAGAAAAGAGTTAGCACAAGGTATTTGCACTGCTTTGGTATCACTGGTTCTGCAAAATGTCCCCACTGAATTCAAGGGAGCTCTATCCAGATAGACAAGAGTCTACTCACTGTACATTGCAAGATCAAGGTCTTTATCACTCTTTTGTGGGTCTTGGAAGTATCTAAGCGGTGCATCTTCCTGGGACTTGTTGTCTTCATAAGAGTAAATTTCTTTCTACATTTCAAGAATTCAAAATATATTTGTTGTTCCTCAATGATATAGATGATTTCTTATTTTTCCAGGGCAGTTACAAGAATATTTGCATTCATCTTATTCCTAGTTGTTTCTTCTCATCACCTACAGATAACAGGACATTATTGATCGTTGTGGTATTTTTTTAAAATGTGAAATGCAGAAATTAGTTATGGCATGTAAATTACAAGTTGGTTACATCTTAAATTGTAATTTCACAATTTTTAAATAAATAAAAATTGTATTAATAATTATTCTTCACCTTTGAACAGCACATTCATCTTAACAAACTCAACATACACCAAAACACTAATGAATTCATAATCCTCTCAAACACCAATCTGGGTATTACTATCTCAGGGTATGTCTACACTGCCACCCTAGTTCAAACTAGGGTGGCTAATATAGGTGTTCCAACTTGCAAATGAAGCCTAGGATTTAAATATCCCGGGCTTTATTTGCATGTTCCCGGGCGCCGCCATTTTTAAATGCCCCGTAGTTCGAACTACCTGCCCGCGGCTACATGCGGCACGGACTAGGTAGTTTGAATTAAAGCTCCTAATTCGAACTACCATTAAACCTCCTTGCAGGAGGAATAATAGTAGTTCGAATTAGGAGCTTTAATTCAAACTACCTAGTCCGTGCCGCATGTAGCCGCGGGCAGGTAGTTCGAACTACGGGGCATTTAAAAATGGCGGCGCCCGGGAATATGCAAATAAAGCCTGGGATATTGTGACGTAGTGGAGGGAACTTGCTAGGGCTGTGGCGACCTTGCTGGGGCTGTGGGCGACCTCTGCTGTCTGTAGCAAGACCCAGCAGGGAAGGGGGGAGTCATTATGCAAAGATGGCTCCAAACTGGTCTGACCAGCCACCCCCCATGGGGAGAAACAAAGGAAGGTGGAAGGCTGCCCTGGCTGGGGGCAGGGCTGGAGTAAAGGGAGAGTTAGTTCCTGGCTGGAAAGCAGGGGAGAAGGAGCTGGGGAGGGGGGCTGGGACTCCCCTGTCTCAAGGGGGGCACTGAGGCCTCTTAGCCCCCAGTTCCTGTAACCAGATTACATCTGTGCTGTGCTATATCCTGGAGTGGCAATAAACAACCTCCATTCTACTGGCTGGTGGAGTCTGTTCATGACATTTCGGGGGTGCAGGAGACGGGAAAATCCCGACGCGTCATCACAGATATTTAAATCCCGGGCTTCATTTGCAAGTTCGAATGCCTACATCAGCTACCCTAGTTCAAACTAGGGTGGCAGTGTAGACATACCCTCATTCTGATGCACATAGAAGTTATAAAGTAAATCTGCTTTTTTGCACTAATTTCTTATTCTGGGAATAGTTGCAGAATTTCTTAACTGTCCTACTTGCAGATTAAGATACATACAATTCAAATTATGTAAGCATTGTAAGATCGCAACCTAAATTCATTATTCAGTATAACACAGACTGTAAGAAGAATTTTTCCTTGCATCATTTCATCGGAACCTACAAGACTACTTTTCCAATATTTAACAAAACATAAAACACCAGGATGGCAAGTGCCAACAATATATATAAAATAATTGCTAGAGTTATAATTTCCTTTAAAAATTGAGGTATGACTTGATCAACAATATTTTACCAAATCTGACTACTTAAATGTACGCTGGGGATATTTAAAGGCCAGTAATGTAAGGAGTTTTACTTTATAAAGGGATGGTAAGAAAAAATAGAATATGGAGTAGTTGTGTGATGTATACAGGCCAAGTTTTTCAAAAGGGACTAGTGACTTGGGGTTTCTTCATTTTTGGGTACCAAATTTGAAACATTTTAAAAGGTCCATATTTTCAGAGAGGGGCTGTTCAGCATCTTTTTAAAAACAGGATCGCTTAAGGAGTCTCCAGTAGAATACCCCAAAATGAAGGAACATAAATCACTAGTCACTTTTGAAAATCTTAGTCATTGATTTTAAATAACTCAGCATATACTGATAGAAATGTAGCCGTGTTAGTCTGGTGTAGCTGAAACAAAATATAGGACTATGTAGCACTTTAAAGACTAACAAGATGGTTTATTAGATGATGAGCTTTCGTGGGCCAGACCCACTTCCTCAGATCAAATAGTGGAAGAAAATAGCCACAGCCATATATACCAAAGGATACAATTTAAAAAAATGAACACATATGAAAAGGACAAATCACATTTCAGAACAGAAGGGGGATGCGGGGGGAGGGGGGGGAGGAAAGGTAGGTGAATGCCAGTGAGTTAATGATATTAGAAGTGGGGAAGGGTAGATGTCTGTGAGTTAATAGTATTAGAGGTGATAATTGGGAAAGCTATCTTTGTAATGGGTAAGATAGCTGGAGTCTTTGTTAAGTCCCCTGCGGAGAGTGTCGAATTTTAGCATGAATGCCAGTTCAGAGGATTCCCTTTCAAGTGCAGATTTGAATGTCTTCTGAAGTAGGATGCAGGTTAGCAGGTCATTGAGACAGTGTCCTTTCTGGTTGAATTCTTTGGTATATATGAATGAATCCTTTGGTATATATGGCTATGACTATTTTCTTCCACTATTTGATCTGAGGAAGTGGGTCTGGCCCACGAAAGCTCATCATCTAATAAACCATCTTGTTAGTCTTTAAAGTGCTACATAGTCCTGTATTTTGTTTCAGCATATACTGTATTTATTAAGTAATCCATTTTGTCTTACTTGCTAACTTCTTTCTCTAATGTAGCTCAATTCTGTCCTATGAACCTCACAGCTAATGTTTTATTTCTATTTCTTTACTTCCCATTTTAGTGGTCCTGAATGAGCCTTTTCACAAACACCTTCCTGCTCTGCACCTCCCAAAGGCTATCAGCCAGCATTCAGTACAGCAGCGAATTTTTGTGTTCTTTGTTTTACCCAGGCATTTTAAAATCCGGAAGTGACTCATGGACCAGAAGAAGCAAAAAACAGAACGAGGGTTAGACCATGGCACCTTGCAAATCAGGATAAATAATGAGGTAACTGTCTTCCCTAGCACGAAGCAGGAGACCAAGAACCGTCTGGCACCCTTCACTAACAGCCGCAAGAAACACCTTAGCAAGAATCAAAAAGAGGAGAAAAGGGCCTTACAAGAAGAGATCAAGGTCTTCTGGGAGGAGAACCAAGATTTCCATGAACAGATCAAGGTATTTCAAGAAGAGAAGAAAGCCAAGGCTTTGAGATTGGAGATCAAGGCCTTTCGAGAAAAGAACAGGAACTTTGTGGAAGAAATCAAGGCATTTCTGGAGGAAAACAAGGCCTTCTTGGAAAAGATCAAGGCCTTCCAACTGAAAAAGAAAGCTTTCCAGGAACAGGTTAATACTATTCAAGAAAAGATTGACACCTTCCAAGAGATGATCAAGGTCTCTGAAGAGGAGATTGTAGCCTTTGAGGAAAGGAATGAGGCTTTCCGGGAAACAATCAGAGATTTCCAGAGAAAAAACAAGGTCTTTCAAGAAAAAAATAAGGCTCTGCGTGAGAAAAACAAAGCCTTTCAAGAAAAGAATGAAGTTGCCCAGGAGAAGAACAATACTTTCTGGAAGGAATACAAAGTTTTCTGGAAAAAGGACAAGGTCTTCTGGGAGGAGGATATTGCCATCTCAAGGGATAAAATGGCCCTCTGGGAAGAGTACATGGCTTTCAGGGAGAATGATCAGGAGCTACAAGAGGGAAAAGGAGCTCTTTGGGACATGGTAGAAGTCCTTTGGGATGAGAAATATGCCCTATGGAAGAAGGTACACAACCCTCCAGGAGAACAAGACCTAGCTGAAGCTTCAGAGAACAATGCAGATGGTGATCATGGCCCAGCTGTACATACTATGACAAAGGCACCAGAGGGAGCAAGGCAGGACTAGAGGAGTTCCTTGCTGCCAAGCCTTGGGTTCTCTCATGTGCTGAAACACATACATATTTGATCCTGTGACCCCAGAAGCTTAATAAAGTCCTGATGGAGCTTTAGAAACAGGGAGTATCAGAGTTTTATTTTACTCTTACGTATGCTTGTATTGCATTTGTTTCCTTCAGCTCTGTCATAGTTAGACTCTCAGGGTATGTCTACACTACAAAGTTAATTCGAACTAACAAACGTTAGTTCGAATTAACTTTGATAGGCGCTACACTAGCGCTCCGTTAGTTCGAACTTAATTCGAACTAGCGGAGCGCTTAATTCGAACTAAGTAAACCTCATTCTACGAGGACTAATGCCTAGTTCGAATTAGCTAGTTCGAATTAAGGGCTGTGTAGCCACTTAATTCGAACTAGTGGGAGGCTACCCCTTCCCAGCTTGCCCTGATGGCCACTCTGGCCAACACCAGGGAAACTTGTCTGCCCCCCTCCCGGCCCCGGAGCCCTTAAAGGGCCATGGGCTGGCTACACATTTTGTGCCAGTTGCAAGGCTGCCAGCACCCAGCCAGCAGACCCTGCAACTGCCACAAGCTGAGCCAGCCACCCGATGCCAC